ATTTTTTTAAAAGCACACAGCTTTAGACGCCTTAACATTCCATCACTTGACTTTTCTGCAATGGTTAAACATCCTGACTATTTGAGTTAAACTATTTTAAATACTATGATGACCATCTTGACACATCATCATTTTTTTAACTTTTATTTTCTGTGCGCATGTGCATATGCATGCCATGGCACACAAGCACAAGTCAGAGAACCAACTTCTGAAAGTTGGTTCTTGCCTTCTACCATTGTGGGTTCCAGATACTGAATTCAGGTTGTCTGGTTTGGTGGGATGTGCCTTTACCTGCTAAGCCATCTTGCTGGCCCTTTGTTTGGGGGGCAGGGGGTACATCTTTCTATGCAGTTCAGCTCAGAGGAGATGAATAGTGAAACAGCACACATCAGAGTGCCACCATTTGTGCAACATGGGGTTGGGTATGGAGCCCCAGCTCTACATTGCTGCCATGGCAGCCTTGGCCTGTGTTTGCCCGAAGCAGCTTTGTGCTTCTTAAAAACCGAGGAACATGATACAGCTATCTATACTATGTATTGATGTTGAGGGCAGTTTTAACAGCGTGTCCATCCCACTACCAGAAACAAATCATGTCTCCATACTTATTCTGTGCCACCAGAGCCCAGAAGTCAGATCAGGTATCATTCGGTGCTTGGTGAGCGTGAAGCACAGATGAAGGATCCCTCACTAGTGACTGTGGCATGCTCGTAACACCTATTTCATACCTGGCTCATGTTTCTGGGGTTCTCAAGAAAACAAGTAGAACTGTGGTCCTGAGGAAATTTTTCAGATGCTTCCTACGAACCTGACCCTGGAAAAAGACTGGCATCATCTCACCTACTGCCCTACTGCTGTTCAGTGTTGACCAGTTTTCCAGGTTCTCTTCCCAAATTATTTCCTGTGCAGGATTCCTTTAGACTACAATCATTTTCCTATAACATCCTTCTAACCCCAAGTAGGTATTCTATATCATAACTTTGTTTGGCTTCAGTCACCATCTCTTTTTTAGAACTATGAATTTGAATTATTATCAACCAATCAACTTGGTCAGGTTAAAAAAACCCATGCAGGCTGGGGGTTTTCAGTCGATAGAGTACTTACCTCACATGCACTAATCCCTGGATTTGATTCCCCAGTACCACACATAAACAGGCACTCAGGAGGTAGAAAAAGGAAGGTGGGAAGTTCAGGGTCATCCTCAGCTACTTAGTGAACTGAGCCAGTTGGGCTACATGAGATTTCTTCTTAAGAAAAGAGGAGAAGGGAAGGGGAGAGGGAGTAGAAAATCCACACAACAGAAAAAAGGAAGTTCAGTCTCATCCACTATCAGGCTTCTTGCTTTGGATTTGAATCATGGAAGGACATAGCAGCCATTATAAAAGGAAGCTATTCCTTAGCAAGTTAGTCTTCAGCATACCTCCAACCTAAAATGTGATGAGGCGAAGTTGGTATTTATGCAAAGTACATGCTGTACACAGCCTCCATCTAGAATCAGTAGGGTAGATGAGAAAATATTTATTGCCTTGTCCATTGTAGAGGTAATGGGGGAAAATTGGTTTCTAGATGAAGCATAACAAATTAACTATCAGTGTGTGTGCATGTGAACCATGTATGCAGGGTTTGCAAGGCACCGTTTACAAGCAGAGCCTAGGGCTTCTCTGCTTCACACATGTGACATCCTGGCCATGTATGTCCCTGTGCCCATTCACCTTGGTAGACAGAAAAGTGACTTGCCACCTGCCTCTATAATCCCTGAGTCCATGGGCATCCTTTACACTTGTATTGTAGTTTCTTCTCTTCTCCAACCTGCTCTGTGTTTTTGCCAAGTCCTGTGTCTTGGTGTGAAACAGATCACTGCAAAATGGATGTGAAGGCTAGCTGTCTGTGGACTCAGGGGCGGGAGGGTAGGGGGTGTTATTGGTTGCTTTTGTCACAGGAAACAGTGCACCTCAGTAATTTATATTTAGGCCTGAAATTGTATGTATAAATAACATAATGGAAGATACTTAGGGTAGGATAAGCATTTCAACGGATTCACCTTCTCTAAACCACTGTACCATTAGTCCATTGACTCTACCAAACAAACAAACAAACAAACAAACACAAACACAAACAAACAAAATACCTTTGCTCACACTCAGCTCAAATTTGAGGAAGAAATCTCAGAATTCAAAGCTCCATCAAGCCACTTCACTTTTAAAAAAATTTGTTTAAACCTATAATGGGGTGGGGTGCTGTTGCAATCCCCCAGCAAGTGCCCCTGCCATCCTGTGCATTCTATAGGTTAGACAACAGTTCTGAATTCTGTAGGTCAGATGAGAGCTTCTGGTGCCCCAAGTTTTGGACTGCCCCTTCCTGAGCTACCTTTAGAGCCAGTGCCCAGGCAAGGATGGTGGGAGCATTTGACTATAGAAAGCATTTGATCCTGGGGGATGGAGAGAAAAACCAACATAGGTAGAATGATGAGGTACAGAAAGTGAAGTACAGATAATTTTAAGGAAACTTTCCTCCTTTGTTATGAAGAACAAGTCCTTGATAAAGAACCATCCAACCAGGATTAGTAAATCACCCCTGTAATCCCAGGGCTAGAGGCTAAGGCAGGAAGATTGACAAGAGTTTGAGACCAGCTTGGGCTCCAAGGTAGACCATATTTCACCACCTCCCACACCAAACAAAAGAAATGCTATGGAGACTAGAGTCTTGGGTTAGGTCATGAAAGGTTGCATGGGTCATACTTTTGGGGATGCTTAGAAGAGGAAGAGGCTGGTCTGCTGAGCTGAGGAGGTATCAGCAGAACAACTTGGGAGTTAGAACATGTCCTGGAGGGCTTGAGCAGTCAGATGTGTGGGAAATGGCAGCAACACGGAGGCTGGAGGGCAGGTTTCGTTGTGGTCGTCCTTAGTTTTTAGGGGGAAAAGAAAGCAGGAGTGCTCAGTTCAGCGAGGCTTTATTTTTGAAGCAAAATAAAGTGCATTTGTTTCTCGTTTTACAGTATCAACACCAAGCCTAAGAGCATTCAGCTCTTTTTATGAGCACAGGTGACTCAGGACTTGTCTATGTAGTGGATCTAGGACTTGTAGGCCTGAGAGAGAAGGCAAACCAATATCACCTTTGCCACTTTTCCCTTCTTGGAGTTCTAGTGCATTCTTGGGTCTGGTTCATGGTGCTTAATTCTTATGTCACCAGTAGCACAGGTGAAATCCAGAGTCTGTCCATCACAGCTGTACAAAGCAAAGATGTGCTTGTAATCTGTCAATAGAAAAATGACACCATCTGTTGGCAATGTAGAAAATGACACTGACAGTGTCACTGAAGGTCAGGTATTAAATCCACAATTATAGAAAGGTCTGGTGTGTGGATTGATGCCAGATAATAAGGAACATTCATTTTAAAGAAGATGCTCATAGAATTAGAATAATTAATGTCCATAACTTCCTCTTGTTACCTGTCATATGTTCTTTCTCATAGGTAAAATGTTTAAGTTTATAAATTTCAAAATGGTAGAAAAATGCACCAGTGGTTTTTGGCCCTATGTTAACGGTGATTGTAAATAAGAGCATGTGCCATGTAAATTAATTATGGAAGTACAAATGCATTGCAGCTTTTGAAGGGGTGGGAGCTGGGGTGGGTGTGAAGGCGATAGAACACCTTGGTTCTTGCCACAATAATTCAAGAGTCTAATTTCCTAGCATTCAGGAGTCTTAAACCTTCTGTGTTTGTCCCCAGTTTTAGTATTCATGAGGCCCATCTATGCATTAAGAATAAGACAAAACAATGACCCACTATAGCAGGAAAAACCAGCCCATCTTTTGACAGAGGATTTTCGGTTAATTTATGCAGGCCCCTTTGCACTTCAGCTTTTTCCCCACTGGTTGCTAGGCAACCACTTGAGTTACTGCGCATGCTTCTTTTATGATAACTGTCATTATGATTATTTTTTAATTATACAACTGGGACCGTGGATTAAAACAGCATATTGTCACTTGTGCCTTGCCACTGCCTCTCAGTGTTCCCCCACACTGGTGCAATCACCTTCCAAAATTTACATGCCAGGGTTTTATGATTATCTTTTGATGTCTCTGGCTTCACAAAGGAACTAGAGATGGCATCATAAAAAGAGACAGAATTTTTTTATATGAAAAATGACTATACCGTATATCACAAGCTGTTATTGATTCAGGAGGCCAAATCAGGTATTAGGATCTTGAACCTAAATTATACATCTTTGTTCTTTTAGCCATGCCTGCTTTCGGTACTTAGTGACGTGAAAGGCTTGTATTGCTTTGCAGCCTGTTCTTTAGAATTGCAAAATGCTAAACATTTCTATTAAACCTGCTTTTCAATAAACCCACCCTGAATTTGGGGGAGGGCGCAGCATGAACCCTAGAAATATTCAGTATGCACATTAGCCAAATGCATTTGTTCTTTTGGTCCAAATTGCTCCACAAACATGAGTGCACTTAAGTGGCGTGAAGGAGTTCCTCCGGCAAGTGATTGATAGAGGAATGAGGGGCTCATGGCGTGTACAGCACGGGAAAGGTGTAAGATGGAAAGGACGTCAGGAGTCACACAGGCTTTCCATTTGCATTGTTCTGTATATTTTAACATTATTTTGAGTTATCTTCTAAATATAAAGTGAATTTGAAGACAAAGGCGCATGGGAATCATGTCTGTGTGCTTTCTTTTAAGCAACTCTATTATTTAAAATGGGATTTGGGGCTGAATACGTTATTTTAAATATTTCTATCATGATGAAGAGAGATTTGCTCTGACAGGAATCCGCAGTGCACTTCCCACATTGTTTATGTGACAGAAATGGGACCCTCATATGAATGCTTTCATGTGATTTGAAGTTAGCACAAGGGGCGTCAGCCTCCAGTGCAGTTGTGGGCTTTTCCTCCATGTACAGAGCCCCATGGCTGTGTGTCTGGGACCTCCTTTGCTTTGTTGACATTCTCTGAATGTCTGCTTTGTTTCTGTTTGTTTCCCCCATCCTGCAGTTCAGGGCGACAGCTCAGTGAAGTCTTCATTCAGTTACCTTCCAGGAAAGAGTTACCAGAATACTATGAATTAATTAGGAAGCCAGTGGATTTCAAAAAGATAAAGGTAGACACTTTGTTCACTAACTTTATTCTTCAAGTAAATGAAGGAGATGCATGGATGCGCTGGAGTGATTTTAGGTGGGGCTGGGTAGTGGCCTCCTGTCTGACCACCAGTCTTATAGAAGGCTTGCCCCAGGAAAGGTGGGGATGTCATTGAACCTTCCTATGCATGTTACCTGATTGACAAAAGCTCAGATTATACATTGCATGTTGTTGAGAACCCTGCTCTCCCCTCCACTGCTGCTCACTTGCCATTCTGTGCACCTTCGTCCCCATTGTAAGAAGGAACACTGGTGGGAGGGTGGTCTTAGTCAGTGGCACCCCTGGGGTTGTGCAGCCTTACCCCCCTTGCCAATGCTGAATGCTGTGAAAATGAGGAAATCTAGGCTTTCTTAAACAAGTAATGGTGATTATATTTTCTACTACCTCTTTTATTTTGTCCAAAATTCCCATCAGGAGAGAATTCGTAACCATAAGTACCGGAGCCTGGGTGACCTGGAGAAAGATGTCATGCTTCTCTGTCACAATGCCCAGACCTTCAACTTGGAGGGATCCCAGGTATGTGTCAAGTTGTCTGAGAAGGGTCTAGCCTTAAACATGCCTAGGTTCTCTTAAGCTAAGTGAAGCATTTCATTTTTATGTTTTCAATCATTATTTCCACCCTGACAGAAGGAAAATGAAAACTGAAAGCCCGTATTCTCTGTCTGTGTGTGTCCCTGGCAGGTTCTGCTCATACTGCTTGAGGCTTGCCTTCCCATTAGAAGAGGAATTCAGATAAGTCATTGAAAGTAATGCTGAAAGGCTGGGTGCTATTTTTGCTTTGAAAGAGATTTGAAATACATTTAAAAAAAATTTTTGATTTATTTTTATTTTATGTTCTACGAGTGTTATGCCTATATGTATGTAAGTGCGCTGGTATCCTGCAGGAGAGTGTATCAGAGCCCCTGGAACTGAAGTTACGAACAGCTGTTAGCCACCATGTGGGTGCTGAGATTCGAACCTAGGTCTTTTGCACAATCAGCCAGTGCTCTTAACTGCCGAACCATCGCTCCAGTCCAAAATTTGATGATAGTTCATTTTCCTGAGTATAAACTCACATCAGGAGTTCAGAGTACTACCATTTAAAACAAAACAGAAGGTGGAAAAGTATCTAATTGTTTTTCAAAATCTTTCATTTATCAGCCCCTTTCCAATTCTCTGTCCTCTTCTTCATAGTGAGAAAGTCTGTGTAAGTAACAGTGAGTCTGTTAACATGAGGAAGAAGATGATTCCGCTTTAGTTACAGCTCAGTTATGTTCACTTTCTCTAGAAACCCCTCTCCACCCCCCAATCTGTCTTTCTGGCCTCATAAGCCAATATCCAGGTAATGGAGAAAGAGCAAGTCGGGTCAAGTGATGCAGATACACTGTGCGTCCCCTTTCTGTGTTTTGAGAGAGTAGCATGTTGCCTGTCAGAGTCCAGTCCCACAGCCAGGAACTGACAGTGCTGCTGCCATGCATCTCTTCAGTCATAACCTCCAGCCTATCTCCTATCACTCCTTTCTCACCCCTTATGGGATCTTTCTTACCCTGAAGATCTGTCACCCTCAGGTCTCTGGCAGATTTTGTCCCAGTGGTCCCATCCCACCGTGTCTCACTCCATCCTTCCTTTTCCTCTTGTCCTCTATGCTCCCCCTACGTTGCACTGCCACTTTCTTGAATGTGTGGGCCGTTTTTATAGTACAAAGAATTCATTCGTGGAGCACAGAAGCCATTCTTTTTCCTTTACAAATTGTTTTGGAATTGTGATAAAATGATAACATAGACTTTATCATCTTAACCATTTTTAAGGGTACAGTTCTCAGAAGTGTTGACATTGTTTCTGTGCTTGTTGAACGTGTCTCTAGGACATTTTCATCTCACAGAACTGAGATGCAGCCATCTTGCCTGTAGCCATTCTCCTCTCCCTTCCCCCAGTTCCTGATAACCACCCTTCTATGTTCTGCGTCTGTGAGTCTAACTACTTTACACACCTCACATGAGTGGAACCATCCAGTGTCTGCCTTTTGGTGTCTGGCTTCTTAGGATTCTTTTGTGTTGTACCAGGTGCAGGAGCTCCTTCCTTGTAAAGGCTGAGTAATGCTCACGCCATACGCTATGTTTTGTTTAGTCATTCATCTGTCTACAGATCTTTGGGTTTTTTTCTAGCTCTTGCCTGTGGTGAATCTTAGGAACACGGGTGTTCAAATATTTCCTCTGGATTCTACTTCTAATGATTTTGAATACATACCCAGTTGTGGGATTTCTGGATCATATAGTAGTTATATTTTCATTTTTTGAGGGAAAGGACTGTTTCTGGACCTCATATTTCCATCTGTGCTGCCTAGGGCTGTGTTCAGGTAGGTACACAAGCTGGAAATAAAGTGTTGATTAGATGAATATTGACTGTGCTGCATGCAGCTCAGCAACAAGGAGAGGGTTTTAAAGGTTTCTCTGTAATTGTATCGCCACAATATTTATAGAACAATTTAAATGAGTGTGGTTTTTTTTTTTTTTATAAAAAAAATATTGTTTGGGGGCTAGAGAGATAGGGCTCAGCAGTTAAGGGCACTGGCTGCTCTTCCGGAGGATCCAGGTTCAATTCCCAGCACCCACATGGCAGCTAACATCTGTCCATAACTCCAGTTCCAGGGGATCCGATGGCCTGTTCTGACTTCCACAGGCATTGCACGACACGGGTGCACTTATATGCATGCAGGCAAAACACTCATACACATGAAATAAAAATAATAGTTTTTGTTGTCAAAAATGTGACTATCTTATTCACCTGTCTCCCCCCAAGCACATGCTTTTAACATGAATTCAATTCACATAGGCATTAGTGACGGGCTTGGGACATGGATCAGTGTTTGTACTTGCCACAGTATAAGGACCAGAGTTCAGATCCCTAGAACCCAGTGCTGGGAGGTGTAGCAGCCTCCTTGTAATTCTGGCATGTATTAGGTAGAGACAGGGAATCCTAGAGCAAGCTGACTGGCCAGACTAGCTGTATCAATGAACTCTGGATTTAATTGAGAGACCCTGCCTTGGTGAATAAAGTAGAGAATAATTGAGGGAGCATTCTGACATCATTTGGGGGCCTCCACACATGAAATGCACATGAAAACAAAAACGCTAGTATAAAAATAAAGCTGGGGTCTTTGTATAAGGAGTAACACAATGCAAATATGAATCTGGGGGCCTCTGGTTACAGTGTTTAACAGATGCTGCCTTGACCACTTAGATCTATGAAGACTCCATTGTCCTACAGTCAGTGTTTAAGAGTGCTCGGCAGAAAATCGCCAAAGAAGAAGAGAGTGAGGATGAAAGCAATGAAGAGGAGGAGGAAGAAGATGAAGAGGAGTCAGAGTCAGAGGGTAAGCCCAGGCATCTGGTCCTGCACTTCCGCATGGCCCTCGCCACCTACAGGAGCTTTTCCAGGAATTCCTGAAGGCTGTATACTTAACCTGCTCATTCCCAGCTTCCTCCGCTATTAAAGTTGAGCTTACCAAGTATTAGGATTGACCAGTGCTCACTGGAAACATTCTACCCATGCTGCCTTTGGATGTTGGAACAACACTGGTGTGAACACCACCTTGTGCACTCCTTAGCATATTTGTCTGACATCTACAAGGCTTGAAGGAAGTAGACTATTAGGCTCCATCCCACTGTTTCTCAATCAGTAGCCTGCAGTGGGGCCCAAGCACTTATTTCTAATGAGTTCCCATAGGATCCTGATGGGCCCAGGCCACACTTGGACAGTCAGCCATTGCTTTTGAAAATAATGTCACACTAAGCTTACTACACCCATGATTATGGCCTTCAGTATAGATAATGCTTTTAAATATGTTATATGTCCAGGTGTGGTGGCACACGCCTTTAGTCCCAGCACTTGGGAGGCAGAGGCAGGTGGATCTCTGTGAGTTCCAGGCCAGCCTGGTCTACATAGTGAGTTCCAGGCCAGCTGGGGCTAAATAATTCCTGTTTAGCACAAGGTGACTTGGAAAGTTTTAAAAATTTTGTAATCCCGTTATCTATAGTACAGTACTTTAAGAAGTGGCTTCTAGTTTTTTTACATGTTATTTTGTAGCATAATTTTCTGACTCTGAGATAGATTATATACTGTTAAAACATTCATGAATATATCTTGATTTTACTGATTAACTTGAAATTGTTTTTTTTTCCATTTTAAATAATGCTATCTGAAACATTCTCATCCATAAATCCTTGAAAACAGTTTTAAAATACCTGCTCCATGCATATTGTCACCCAGAGTTGCATTTGTGTCCTCACCAGCCTTGTGCCTGAGTCCCTTTCTCCACAGCCTTATTCTGTCTTTCGTCTGTTTTCCATTTAACATTTCTCAATCTCATATGCTTTTTCACTAGTTCTAATATGCCACCATTTTATGAACAAGTCTGCATAGTTTGTCTTAGCTATTTATTTTATCATTTTAGAGCCAGGGTTCTTTTTCGGAGAGAGGGTTTCATGTCATATATCCCAGGCTGGCCTTGAATTGACCATGTAGCTGAGGATAACTTTGAACATAATTGGCTTGCACCAGCACACCCAGTTTATACAGTGCTGGGATCAAACTCAGGGTGTCACGCATGCTAGGCAAGCACTCCATCAGTGGAGCTGCATCCCCAGCCCCACATGATGCGCTGGAGGAATGCTCCCTAACCTGTACTGCGCTCTTCAATCCTTGCAAACTTTGCCCTTTCAGAAGAGATTCTTCTTTTGTTTATTTCCAAATTGAGAAATACCCAGTATGGCTAGCTGATAGCATTAATTTTTAGCCCACCTCCCATCTTTATACTTTTTCATTAATAGGTAGGCTTTTTGTCTCCAGGCTTACCTTCCTATCCTAAGATACTCCACCTAAGGCTTGTCATCATATAGCACATTAAGCAACAGACATCTGGGTAGAATGGCTATAAACCTTGACTAGGAATTCTGCTTTGTGCACTGGGATTGGCCAGCCATTTGCTCTATTTGAGATGAGGGAAGGGCACATGCACTACCAGAGTTGAAAACAGCCTGGCTCTCATCTCTGCTGTTACCCTACAGTCCCCTAGGAGACAGCATTTTTGTCAATGTCTGGTTACCGTCAAGAAGTCTGAAAAATGTCATCTTGGATTTTTTGTGCACTGATCACTCCTTCACTGTAATACCTACAGCCAACTTGAGATCCACCAAATATGATACTCTAGGGAACTTGGCTTGAGTGAGAGGCCCACGTTCGCCTGACCTTACCCTCAGATACTAAGAGTGGTGTCTGTGGGCTTCCTGTTTTAGAATGTGCCTGCAGAGGTGTCCTTGGTTCTTGCTGTCCTAGGTTCCTTTCTGTTGCTGGGATAAAGCACCTATCAAAACCAACTTGGGGAGGAAAGGGTTTATTTCATCTTAAAACTCCCAGGCCATAATCCATCACTGAAGGAGGTAAGGGCAGAAACTCAAGGCAAGAACTGAAACAGAAACCGTGGAGGAATGCTGCTTACTGGCTTGCTCGCCTACCTTTCTTATACAACCCAGGCCTAGGGATGGCACCACCCACAGTGGGTTGCACCCTCTTACATCAGCCAGGCATCAAGAGAATACTCCACAGACAGGCCCACAGGCCATTCTGATGGAAGAAGTTCCTTAATTGAGGTTCTCTCTTCCCAGGTGTGTTAAGTTCACAAGGAAGATTAGCTATCACAATTGGGGTGCACACCTGTTTCTGTGCTGTAGCACTTTGAACTCTTGAGAGCAGAAATGAGTGCTGTCTTCCTGAAGATGGAATTTGACAGCTGTTAGAATTCTACCACGTGGCTACTTCATTGTGTCCCCCAAGTCTGTCAGTGTGGGTTGACAGTAGCTTTAACTGGGGAGCTGGTTAAATATGTTATGGACTAAATTGTATTTACTTTGCAAATGTTAAAAAGAATTAAAGTAGCAGGTGTGAGCTGATACCTAAGAATCTCATCCCTACGTAAGTAAAAAACAAGATGTGGAATATGGGTCTGCATGAAGATCCCATGTAATGATTCAGATATTTGTATATGCATATGTATTTCTGTTTGAATTATTTTATGATAGACCTTAGAATTATATATACATAGAGAGAGATGTATTAACAAGTATAAACTATCCTTTTTTTTTTTTCTGGAAATAATCACCAGAAAGAAACAGTAGGAAGAGAGACGTGAGAATTGATAAAGGAAATGTGTGGTCAATTTTACGTTCCATTTCCTCTCTATGTTAAAAATATTACTCAGCTACTTGACTTTTTAAGTCAGCTAGAGTGATCTATATAGTACGGTTGTTGGCCTCTTGAGTTTAGCCATCAGGTGGCAGGAAGAGGACCCAGTCCCCGGCTCTGAGGTCTCCATCCTTCCTGCCCTCCATCTTGTTTTCTGTTTCTTGTGACCATGTCACTTACCTGATGTACCTTCCAGATAGAGACAGTGGGGTAAACAGGCTGCCTTTGGGATACTCAAGGCACTTGGAGAGGTTGGGTTTGTTACCTACTGGTGGGACAATTTTACTATCCTTGAAAACACTTTATTGTGAATCCTCAGTGGAGTCTGTCTTGTTTCTCTCATAGCAAAATCTGTTAAGGTGAAAATCAAGCTCAATAAAAAAGACGAGAAAGGCCGGGACAAAGGAAAAGGCAAAAAAAGGCCAAATCGAGGCAAAGCCAAACCCGTTGTGAGTGATTTTGACAGCGACGAGGAGCAGGATGAGAACGTGAGTGTGCAGGCCTAGGCGGAGGCAGAGGCATCTCGATCCTACCTGGACTGCGGGGGCAGGGG